CTGGTTGCGTGAAGCACACTTGATCTCTTGGTCTTGCCCGACAGAGGATCAGCTAAAGGTTTGATATAGCATAGGAGAGCATTTAGATAGACCGGCAGAAATGGGCTCGGGTTGTCAGCCAGATGCAATGCTTGTAAGCCGAGCATGTGCAATGATTCGGTCACGTATGGGCTCGGCCCAATACCAGTTCGGTTATGTGCATTAGCCGAGCAGAAGTAATGATCCGGTAATGTGCGGGTGTGACCCAAATGCTTGTGGGCACATAAAAGGAGCTCTAGGTGGGCCGCGAATCGGGCAGGGTGGCATTTATTTAATTGATCCGTAGGGGACACGTGTAGTGTGGCGATCATAGAAGGGATAGGTGATCTGACGGACAAGGAGTAAGGCGTGCATATGAAGCTAGGGAGTTACATATAAAGAGATAGACCTTGTGTGATGGTAAGCAGAGATTTTTATGTTACGAAAACCTAATATACAAATTGCGCTTTCCTCGATATCATACTAACTTGAGCGTCGGAGGTTTACAGTCGGGAGCACATCCTGGCATCTTTGCAGGTTTCGAAGGGCTCAAGCGGTTGGGATTCAAGGAGGGCCGGTCCAGTGTACAATAGCACATCAAACGAGCTATTTCGTCGTTACCGTAGATAGACTGTTTGATAAAGGTTAATACGGATGGTAGCTTTTCCAGAGATCTTTGCATCCTTTTTACAAAGTTCATAAATTATCTTGTGTTATTTGTGTTCGTTTTTATCTTGAAAGTTCCAAATAATAGTATTGTTCGCCGAAAGCTTGTATATTTGAAGTACCGCTATATACTAGTCGAGAGTCGTTGTATTTGAGGCGTTTGTCGTCAACCGTGGATATTTTACGGGAAAATTTCGTTTTAAGGAGAATGTAATTATTACTTGACTCGAGTTTGATTTTCGTTTCATTTTCTTCATTCTCCTCAAGCCGTCCTTTTGATATTCACAAAAGTTATAATACGAAGATATCAATTAAAACTACCACTAAATTTTTACAAAAATATATTTAATAATCCATTATTACCTAGTAAATTAAATTTTTGGATATATTTCACCCCGACAAAAGGTAAAAAAAAAATCAATGTACAGGAAAATGGGAAACATTTTCAATCAATAAACTGACATAGTCTACAAGCCTAGCTGACCCAAATTATATTGAACTGATATTTATGTAAAAAGGGGTAATAAATGAAAATTATTCAACATTAGTTTCATCAGAAATGGTAGGTGTGGTATTTTAAAGGGTGTGTCTAAGATGAACTATAATTATTATTGACTTTAATGTAAGTTAGGTATATAATGAATGGATGGAGTAAATGCCAAATTAGCTTCATGAAGGAGGCAAATGAAATTAATCCTTATAAATAGTTTAGGTGGATACTGCTTTCATTTATTTATTCTCAAACGAAATGTGCGCGTTTTTATCATATATTTTAAAAAATACACTAAGTTCTTTTATATTTAAATAATTGTTGGACGGTTATCTTATTCCTTCTAACTTAACGGCGTGTGTAAGACACCTTCTCCAGCCAGAATTGTTTAATTTTTTTTATTTTGCACGTTATTAATTTACATTTATACCCTTCGGTATTTTATTGCAAAAACTAAAATTACATTAAGTGTAGAGATGCTCAGTCCACACAACCAACGGCTACATTGATAATTGTGTAAACTATTGAACATAACAAACACATAACAATTTAAAATATCAAATAGATGAGTTAATATATTATAAATTAATGGATCGCCTTTGCAGTCACTATGAAAATAATATAATTAACTCTATAAAAAAAATCATTTGGATAAGAAAAATTATAAAATAATAATAATAATAATAAAGTTTTTGTTTAGTAAAATTAGAGTTTTGAGTGATTAGTCGACTATCAATTCCGGCATGAAAGATAAATTCCATCCATTTGAAATCTCATAGATACCAAACTATTAATTATGTGCAAGAAAGAATAAATTTATCGGTTGAAAGCTCGAAATAGTTTAAACTATTAATTTGGATTTTAAATATAATTGTACCAATATAAATAGAAAAAAATCAAGCAATGAATACAAAACCTTAAACGTTATACAAATATGAACAAATTTTTGCATGTCATATCAGCTACTAAAAATAAATATAAAACTTCGAAATAAAAAATATAAAACATATTTTACCTTTGAAGGATATCAACTATTTTTTAAATCATTTGGCTACTCAACTGATTGATTATATTTTTCATGTTACGAATTAATAGTTGACTCATCTTTCGCGCGACTGTAACTATAAAAACTATAGTACCCCGATTCATAGTTTTAGATCTCTTAGATCGTTGATAGAATACTAGATAAATAAATCTTCGTTTATGATTAATTACTAAAATATTAAATGAATAATAAATATAAAGCATAAAATTAAATAAAAATGAAATATTTATGAACAGTTGAATTTATTTAAGACTATATAATATATATATATGTAGTGCTGCAGGATTTATGTGATTTTAATTCGTCGTACCTTACTGACACCCAAACTGCACGAATACAAGCCATTCTCTGATATTAAATATAATTACCTTAGTTTCTTAATTTTTCCAAGAAAACTATTTCATGTGGTATAGTCAATTTTATGTTATATTGTCATTTTCAAATTTTTTAGGTTCATTAACAAGAAAATAAATAATGATTAATCCAAAGAAAATTTTCGGACTCTACTTCATAATTAAGTTTTGGTATAAAAAAAAAAATATATAATAGTACAAATATACTCGTAAAAATAATTTTTTATATAATACTAAAATTAAATAAATAAAATTACATATATATTATAATTATGAAATTATCATAATTAAATGCACAACAAAAACAAATAAGAAACATAGGAGTCATAAATATTGAAAACACACGTGGTTTACCTTTGTCAAAGTAATAATATTAGACACACAATTGGTTAGATGGACATACCTTTCTTACAAATATGTATACTTTCATTATAAAACATCATATTTTAAAAAAAACAAAAGCATATGTATGATCTTTGAATGTATAAACTAACATATATTTTGTTAACTGTTTTGTATGTTTTTGTTGTTATTTTGTGTGTTTTTATAAGTTTTATTTGTGTTTGTTTTATTTTATTTTTGGTTTTTCCCCGTCCATTAAGTCGTTTTTGT